ACCCCTCCCCCTCCAGCCTCTCTTCTCACCATGTCCTAAGTAAGTTTATTTTAAAATGTGACTATTACAACCCACTGGAAAGGACAGCCTTTGTAACTACCTGAACTTCTCAGGAGATATTGTAGATGTTAGTTAAAATGTAAAGGATACACACACACTTTTTTTTTTTTCTGAGACAAGGTTTCTCCTTGTAGTTTTGGTGCCTGTCCTGGATCTTGCTCTGTAGACCAGGCTGGCCTCGAACTCACAGAGATCTGCCTGGCTCTGCCTCCCAAGTGCTAGGATCAAAGGCGTGTGCCACCGCTACCAGCCAAAGTTCTTTTATAGGGACAGTAAGCACCATGTTTAAAGATGTAACTCTCTCCATCCCCCTTTTTGAGAAAGAGTCATGTAGCCAAGGATGACCTTGAACTGATCCTCCTGCCTCTACCTGAGTTCTGGAATTGCAGGCACATACCATTATGCCTGTTTTATGGTTGGGATAGAACCCAGAGCTTCGGGCATGCTAGGCAAGCTCTCTACTAACTGAGCTGTATCCCTGCCTCCTTTTTAAAATTAAATGAATCAAGCAATTAATTTGTTATTTTGCTTTGTTTTTTGAGACAGGGTATTGATAAAGCTGACACTGACCTTGCACTCCTGATCCCCCTGCCTCTGCCCCCCAAGTGCTGGGATTAGGAGCTTTCAACACCATGTCCAGCGTCAACACCTAAAATGTTTAAAGTCATCGTGTATCCAATTTCCTCATCCTGCTTCTCAGTGTAAATATTGCATTCATTTTCTTCCCTGGCTAAGGGCAACAGGGAAATATCTGCTTCATGTTCACATCAGTAAAGGTCTGGGGACGAGTACATGCTCACTTTAAAATACAATGCACGACGACAAAATTCCACACCTCTACTCTGGGCTGATAAGAGAATAGACTGCAGAGACAAGAAAACAATGTATGAGAACCAAAGACAAAGAGACGAACGGGGGGGGGGGGGGGGGGGGGGGGGGCGCTGCCCTATGTATTCTCCCGTTAAAAACACAGCGCTTCAGGACCTGGAGATGGCTCAGGGAGCAAAGTGCTGCATACAAGCATGAGGATCTGAGTTCAATCCCCCGAGCCCACATAAAAAAGCCTTGTGTGCTGGTGTGTGCTTGGAATCTCAGTGCTGGGAAGATGGACATAGGTGGGTCTCTGGGGCTTACTGGTCAACCAGCCTGGCCTACTTGGTGAGTTCCAAGCTAGTAGCCTTGTGTAGTGGTGTGTGCTTGGAATCTCAGTGCTGGAGGGATGGAGACGAGTGGGTCTCTGAGGCTTACTGGTCAACCAGCCTAGTCTACCTGGTGAGTTCCAGGCCAGTGAGTGACTATCTCAAGAACAAATAGAGGGGCTGGAGAGATGGCTCAGTGGTTAACCATACTTGTTGCTCCTGCAGAGGAGCTGGGTTTGATCCCTATCACCCACATAGTGGCTTACAACCATCCATAACTCCATAGTCCGGGGGATCTGATGCCCTCTTCTGACCTCCTGGGGTATGTGGTGCACAAACATATGCGCACGCCAAACATTCATACACGTAAGAAAAAGTCAATCACCATGTGGGTGGTGCCTGAGGAATGACAACCGAGGCATCCTCTGACTTCCACATGTCACGTGTGCACTCACACCCACATGCATGTACACACACACACACACACACACCTGGCATTTTTCTTTTCATTGACTAGCCTTTAACCTTGGCATATCTAGGTTTTATTCCTTTCATTTTTGGACTTATTTTGTGTATGACTCAGATGATTTGCTAACATTCAACTTTAACCAAAATAAGAAAAACAGTGACAATTCATGATAAAACCTGGGGAGACTGTTCAAGAGTCAGACCGGCTGCATGACAAGCTCAGTCCGCAGAGTGTGGACTGGCATGCAGGAGGCCCTGGGTCTGACCCCCAACTCTAGCGTATACACACCTGGGGACATGGCTCAGTGCTAGACAGACAGCAGTGTGCCTGGGGCCCTGGGTTCAACCCCCAGTACTGAGAAAAAGAAAACAACTGATGCATGATAACAATAGATAGCTATATGTATGTGTTGTAATGTGACATTTCAATACATGTATGTGAAGTGTAGGGATCCTGTAGCTTAAGTTTTCCTGCCTGACCCACAGTCAGGACAAATCTCTCTCACACCCGCCAGTCCCACAGCCATTCAGACCCAACCAAATAAACACAGAGACTTATATTGGTTACAAACTGTATGGCCGTGGCAGGCTTCTTGCTAACTGTTCTTACAGCTTAAATTAATCCATTTCCATTAATCTATACCTTGCCACATGGCTCGTGGCTTACCAGCATCTTCACATGCTGTTGTTTCTCATCATGGCGGCAGTGTCTCTCTGACTCAGCCTTCCACTTCCCAGCTTTATTCTCCTCCTTGTCCCGCCTACACTTCCTGCCTAGCCAATGGCCAATCAGTGTTTTAATTATTGACTAATCAGCAACACATTTGACATACAGAACATCCCACAGCACTTCCCCCCCCCCCTTTTTTTTTTCAAAAGGAAGGTTTTAACCTTAACAAAGTAAAATTACATACAATTTGGGAATTTGGGCGTAGCTTCTCTTACTACTTCCTGCTGGAGGGGGGCGCTGTATCTTATGGGGAAACAAAGAATATTTTAGGATTATGGAATAGTCCATGAGGGTGTATCGTCTGAGCCAGTTGCCTTCAAACCATTCTGGATGTTGGATCATCTGGGCCATGGTGTCATCGGAGACCTTTCAGGGGGTCTTGGCTGGTCAAACCTGATGTGTCTTAATCTGGAACAAATCCATAGCCTCTGGCTTTCTGTGGAAACAAAAGCAGAGTCTCCTTTCCAAAGTAACATATCCTTATATCCAAATTTTGAAGTCAAGGTACCTTTAAAATATACATTTTGGCATAACTCAACAGCTTTTACAATCAAATGTTTTTCTGCAGTTAAAAGTCCCAAAGACAACACAATGCAGATTCTCTGTGTAATATCCATTTTTACGTGGCTTATTTTTTATATTAATTTTACTGTCTCTTTAAAGACTTTATTTTTAAAACTATGTATTTGTTTCTATAACTCTATTTATCATCTTTTTTGTCTCTTTCAAGCCTACGTATCTTTTACACACATTGTAAACTATTACATCTGAATCTGTCTCATTGTGAATCTATTGCCTTAAACTGCAGCAGCTGTGGCTGCTGGCTCCGCCCACCTCAGCTTCCCAACATGGCTGTGGTTACCGCCAGCTCTGGGAGCTATCATGGGTCTATGCTTTTATCCAAGCAGCAAGTAGCCCAGAAACCCTTTTTTGTTTTGTACTAGCAAAGGCTAAATCCACCATGTAGCTTAATGTGCCACTTGCAGAGGCCTCATTCCCGCCATACTGCAGGTTGAGCACGCACTCTAGGAACCCACCAGTAGCTCAAACCGGCAGCTGCTGCTCATTTGAGAGAGACAATTAGGAAGCTGTTTTAGCTCCGTTTTAGAATCTTTTCTTAGGTTTTAGGTGGAAACTCTTGCCACCACGTTGGACGCCATTTGTAGCTTAAGTTTTCCTGCCTGACCCACAGTCAGGACAAATCTCTCTCACACCCGCCAGTCCCACAGCCATTCAGACCCAACCAAATAAACACAGAGACTTATATTGGTTACAAACTGTATGGCCGTGGCAGGCTTCTTGCTAACTGTTCTTACAGCTTAAATTAATCCATTTCCATTAATCTATACCTTGCCACATGGCTTGTGGCTTACCAGCATCTTCACATGCTGTTGTTTCTCATCATGGCAGTTGGCAGTGTCTCTCTGACTCAGCCTTCCACTTCCCAGCTTTATTCTCCTCCTTGTCCCGCCTACACTTTCTGCCTAGCCAATGGCCAATCAGTGTTTTAATTATTGACTAATCAGCAACACATTTGACATACAGAACATCCCACAGCAGGATCCAGTCAGGGCAAGCACCTCCATGGCTGTGAACACTTACCATTGCCTTGTGTTGGGGACGTTCTAAACACTCTGCCAGCTGTTTGGAAATTATAACTGATATTTTCCAACCAGTTACTACCCTACTGTGCAGGACAGAACATCAGAAGTTGCTCCTCTGCCCCTCCTGTCCACCTGCACCCCTGTACCTTGCATCCCCCTCCTTCTAGCTACCTACCCCCCCCTTCTCAGCCTGGCTGTCTCCCTCCCACTGCACACAGACCTTCAGATGTTCCCTTCTCAGGCTGCACAGAGCCCTTTGTAAGGAACCAAAGCACAGCACGAGCTTTAAGCCTGTGCCCCTCAGCTTCACTTTATTGAGGGGAGGAATAACCACCGCTCCTCTAGAGATTATAATTTTCACTTTGGCAGCAGTGTTCAAAGATGCTAACCACTGAGCCATCTCTCCAGCCATGGTTTTGTTTTCTTTTGTTTTGAGGACATGGCTCTTGCAGTGGACCTAGGTTTGGCTCCCAGTACCTGCATCGTGGCCATAGCCTTTGTAACTCCAGTCCTGGGGATCTAATGCCCTCTTCTGGTCTCTGAGAGTTTCCGGGTATGTACACTGCCCTTTCATACATGCAGGCAGTTGCTCATACACATAAAACAAAATTCTAAAAAGAAACAGCTTAATCAGTTCATTGTAGGGCATGTGAGAGGCAAGCATGCGGAGCTCAAGAACGTTCACTCCAAGCAGACTTTGGTCTGTAGCAATTTAAATTTCTACAAAACAACATTACTATAAACATTGAGATTTTGTTTTGATTATAAGTTAAGTTTGGTTTTATAGTTGTGTAAGGGTTGAAAACTGAAAATTTTCTTTTTCTGTCAGAACCACATTATGGGCTGGAGAGTTGGCTTGGCAGTTAAGAGCACTGGCTGTTCTTTGAGAGGACCCAGGTTCAATTCCCAGTACCCAGCTGGCAGCTCACAACTGCTTGTAACTCCAGTTCCGAAGGATTTGACACCCTCACACATATATACATGCAGGCAAAACACCAATGCACATGAAAATAAATAAACCTATTTATTATTTTTTTTAAAAAGAACACGTTATACATCATTTGCTGACACTGGGAGATGCCCAAGCAGCTTTGTTCTTTCAAGGGGTCCAGACATTTTTCAGGTCCAAGGAACCCTGTATTAAACACATGGGATGGCAGTTTCTTTCTTGTTCCCCAGCTGGAGGGCTTTTTTTTTTTTTTTTTTTTTTTTTTTTTTTAGACAGGGTTTCTCTGTGTAGCTTTGCGCCTTTCCTGGAACTTGCTCTGTAGCCCAGGCTGGCCTCGAACTCACAGAGATCCGCCTGGCTCTGCCTCCCGAGTGCTGGGATTAAAGATGTGCATCACCACCACCTGGCTTGTTTTGGGGTTAACCCTGACTTCAATTCAAAGTCAACTGAGATGCTCTGTAAAACTACCCACCCTAGTTGGAGACGGCTCAGGGGTTAAGAGCACTGCTGCAGTTCCAGAGGACCAGGGTTCGAGTCCCAGCACCCACATGGCTGGTGCTTTACGACCACCTGAAATTCCAGTTCCAGGGCCCAGCGCCTCCAAAGGCTCCAGCTTGCAGTGGTGCACCTACACTCATGCAGGAATCTTCAGATACACATGCAAATATAAGGTAAACTTAAATGTACCCACCCTGTGAGTATGATCAAGGTATGTTATATCCATACATAGAAATATCAAAAGGCTGGGGAAGCAGCTTAGCTGGCAGAGGCTTGCCTCGCATGTACCAAGAGCTGGGTTTGATACCCAGCATCACCCAAACTGGGCCTGATGGCATTTGCTTATAATTTTGACACTTGAAGGTACAGGCAGGAGGACCAGAAGTTCAAGGTCATCCTCAGCCATGGGAGACCCTGTATAAACTAACGAAGAAAAGGTGTCATAATAAACCCATTATTTTATGTAATTGATATATGCTAAAATACAGCCAGCCTCGGACAATGGGAGAATTCATAATGCAAACAATAACCAAAGGCAGCTACAATAGCCACCCTAACATCAGAACCAAATATCAGACAAGAATTATGTCTAGGTATTTTTCACCAGGGTTGAGAGATTAAATCAATATTATGTGGGACAAGTTTACATTAAAAGATTATTTGAAACTCAGATGTAACCCAGGAATTTGTCCGTGTTTATGTGGCAGAATCCCAATTTCAAAGAGGGAATGGTGCTTTTATACAAAAAGTCCCAATTGTCTCTGTATGCTGGTATATTCAGAGCTCAGTGCAAGGCTAGCCAAGGCTAGCCCACCAATATCCAGGCTAAACTTACAGGAAATTTAAATGTAATTCGATGGAATGGGTGTTCCCTATTTTTACTTACTACATCTGGCAACTCTGCATGGTACACACTGCCTTCAATCACGACAGCCATTTACGAATCTTTTCCTTAAGCAGGGCTTGGTGTTGCGTGCCTTCAATCCCGGCACTCAGGGTCAGGAGGATCTCTGTGAGCCCCAGGCCAGCCTGGTCCACATAGTCAATTCTTGGCCAGCTAGGATTGCACAGTAAGACCTTATCTCATCAAAGAAACGAACACACACCAGGCAGTGGTGGTGGACACCTTTAATTCCAGCACTCGGGAGGCAGAGGCAGGTGGATCTCTGAGTCCAAGGCCAGCCTTGTCTACAGAGTGAGTTCCTGGACAGCCAGGGCTACACTGAGAAACGCTGTCTCAAAAAAGGAAAGGAAAGGAAAGAAAAACAAGGAAGCAAACCCCAAACAAAGGACAAACAACCCTTTTACGGCCAGCTGAGCCCAAACGGTGACTTGTTGCCCTCTAGTGGCGAACCCCGTCAATGCATGGACTTTGCATAAGCATGCATTAACAGTCGCCGAGTCAGCGCTGAAGTCTCCAGCAGAGCAGAGAAAGAAAGGGGAAAAGGATCTTTATTTTCAGGATCCGTCTTGGAAGGAGGTGCTCTGCAAAATGCGGTGGATGCTCTTTCCAGGAAGCATGCTCCACAGAACTGCAGGTCAGATGGGCGCAAAGCTGACTTCCACGTGTGAACGTGGGACAGTTCTCAGGAATCTCACCGTGGATGACAGACCTGCACAGACCATGGATGTCTGTGTAAGTCAAACCCTAGAATACTAAACGTCGCTGTGAAATTGGGGAGGGGGTACAGTAACAACCACGTCTTCTTAAGTAATTTAGGACTCACCTTGTAAAAAGGGCTGTAGCATGAATCTTAAAAGTTCTTATTAATAAAATCAAACCTGGAGCCAAGTATTGGGGTGAACACTGGAAGATTAGAGAGACAGAACAAGCCACAGCTAACCTCACCTGGCCAACTTCTCAGCTGATCCTGTTTCCTCAGACTGGAAGCTTCTGTGTTTTCATATCTGAATGGATCTCAGCTGAACTGTGCTGCTCAAAACCTAAAAGCTTAACCAGCCAAATGCTTCTAGTTTCTGGTCCTCACGCCTTATATACCTTTCTGCTTTCTACCACCACTCCCTGAGATTAAAGCCTGGCTTTCTGGGATTAAAGGCGTGAGTCACCATGCTTGGCTGTATCCTTGAACACATGGATTTCTGCCTCTGGAATGCTAGGATTAAAGGCGTGTGCTACCACTGCCTATCCTAAGCATCTAGTGGCTTTTCTGTTCTCTGACCCCAGATAAGTTTATTAGGGTACACAATATTTGGGGGAACACAATACCACCACAAAGGGCTTTCTGTTAGGAACATACAACTGATCTCTCTCTTTTCTTCCATGATGGATCCAGAAAACTTAGGTGGGGGTGTGTTTTCGGTTCCTCTCCTCTTCCCAATTTACTCTTCCACACCCAAAGCCAGACTACCTACCCTGCCAATCTCCTTTCTTCATTTCCATCATTAGCCCCTTTGCAGAATGTCTTCTGCTGACAGGCTGAGGGGGTTGGGGGTGGGCCAGACAGGGCGGGGACCTGCAGGCCACTAGGAAGAAGCACCTTCTTGCCTTTCTTCTTCTCAGAGAAAAACATAGTTTATCCTGTTAATATAACTAGTCCGTCATCCAAATGCACATGTATTTATGCTGCCCTCGAGACTGGTAACTCTGTGGTCGCCCTAAGCCCGAGAGAGGTTGTAAGAAAAGCTAGAGGTGGTCCGGGGAGACCGTCCACAGGGCGAGTGCTTGGTCTGCGTGCATGAGGAACTGAGCGCAAACCTCCACACCTACCAGAAAAGCCAGGCTCCACTGTTCACGCTCAGTCCTAGCATTGGGGTAGACAGGAAGATCCCCAGAGCTCACTGGTCAACTACCCCAGCCAGAACCACGAGCTTCCTCTTCAGTGAGAGAGCCTGTCTAGGGAACAGGTGGAGCCAGAGGCAGATGCCACATGTCCCACTCAGACCTCCACACTTGGGCGCAGGTGTGAACACTGTGACACCTGCATGCTCACACTCATGCCCAAGTGTGTGCTCACATGTAGCACAGACAGACACACAGACATAGGAGAGTGGGAGAGGAGGAGAAGGAGGAGAGAGAGACAGAGACACACAAAGTGAGACAGAGAGAGAAGGATGGGGTTTCTCTGTGAAATAGTCCTGGGACTCACTCTGTAGACCAGGCTGGCCGGGAATTCAACAGATCCGCCCGCCTCTGCCCCCTGACTGCTGGGATTAAAGGCATGTGCCACCACTGCCCAGGGTGAGTTTCGAATGTAATGAATTCAAACATTCCCTCCTGGAAAGATAGGAGAAGCTTCCAAAATTTAGGAAGCTAGGAAACCTTCAAGGCTCAGGAAGTCATGGGATCCCAGAACCCTCACTGAGGTTCCGAAAGCAGGAACTATTGCTTAAGGAAGAGGAGACCCCCAGCAGAAGTGCCTGCAAGTCAGACAAGGGCTCTGAGATGCGGCTTTCGAGTCCTCATCTGAGCCCGGGTGAGACCCCTGAATAAACTCCCTGGCTCAGCAAGTGACACTTCGGGCACTGGTTCTCAGCCTGCCAATGCTGCGACCCTTTACTATAGTTCCTCACAGGCCAGGCAGTGGTGGGGCACACCTTTAATCCCAGCACTTGGGAGGCTGAGGCCAGCCTGTCCCAGAGTGAGTTCTAGGACAGACAGGACTATTTCACAGAGAAACCCTGTCTTGAAAACCAAAAACCAAAACCCAAACCAAAAAACAGTTCCTCATGTTGTGGTGACCCCCAATCATAATTCTTTTCATTGCTATTTCATAACTGTAATTTCACTATTGTCATGAATCGTAAACATCTGGTATCCAGGATACCTGATATTAGAGCCCCGTGAGTGTCATTCGACTACCAAAGAGGTCCAGACCCTCAGGCTGAGAACCACTGACTTAGATGGCACCCTTGGCACCCTCTTTTTGGTCTGTTGTTGGTTCCTGACCCTGGGTGGTGACAGTTCTTCACGTTCACCTAGGAAGAGTCAGGAGCACCGAAAACCAAAGCCTGAATGCAACTGGGATCTGTCACTGTCACCAAGTAACAGGGCACTTCTCAGGAATACAGATGAGTTTATTATTTCCTCCACTGTGAGGAAGGAAACTGACAATACAAGTCACGTTCACCCCGAGTCTCCTGAGCAGAGCAGAAGGGCCCTCAGGATGCGTGAGATGGAGGGTGAGGGACAAACACTCGCAAGGGACAGGAGTTTGCATACAGAACAGCAGAGTGCAACAGTCTTGCCCCGCTCACCTCATGAAGCCATCTGCAGGATGCTGGCCACAGGGCATCGGTGTCCTGCTGCTGTGAGCACCTCTGGCACACAGAACCCCAGGTCAACAGCACCCACCAAACCCAGAGTTCTGGCTCCAGTTTGTTATATAAAACCATTTGACAGCAGAGGAGCCTCAGACAAATTACAAAAGGACAAGACACAGACTTGGTGCATAGAAACAAAACATAGAAACACGATTATTTTCTTCCACCACCAACCAGAATCAATACCTGCCTCAATTTCAGATCTCACTCATTCGGTAGCTGCCGAGCCCTGTCTGTGCCGGGCCCTGCACTATTACAGGGGCTGGGGGCACAGCGAGGAACTTAGTCCGTGCTGGGAGCTTCCGCAAAAGGAGAGACAGGCACAGAGAAAGTGCAGGCCGGGCACACAGGCTGCAGTGGTCGGGGGGGGGGGGGGGGGGGGGGGGGGGCTTGGGAACACCTCCCCCAGCCCCAAGAGAACTACGAGGCTGTCGGAAGTCAGCCTGCTGAGCTCTGTATTTCATACACAAACACACACGTCTCTACACCCGTACACACTCACACCATGCACTCTTGCTATGTGGCTCGGGCAGGCCCGCATTCCTCGGCAGCTGGCAAGGGAACAAGCAGGCACCATTGGGCCTGGCCTATTTTTAAATGAACTTTTTTATGGGTTACGGATTTCTGCTCAGTCTTTAAGTGATTCTAACCTAGAACAGCCTCTCTAATTTCAGACTCAACTGTTAATAGGTGCTTTCTGGCAATCCTAATGGAATGCAGCCAGGTCACCTGTGTGGGTGGCGTGTAGATGTTCACAGCCGGTTACTGTTTACATCTGCACATGCACATCACCAAGACCACGTCACATTAATCTTAGGGGGTGCCGGGCTTCTCTAACTATCAATATTTCTCAGGCAGCTTGTTGGTGCCCTCAAGTGCATAGTATTTCTTTTCTTTCTTTCTTTTTTTGGTTTTTTGAGACAGGGTTTCTGTGTGTAGTTTTGGTGCCTCTCCTGGAACTCGCTCTGTAGACCAGGCTGGCCTTGAACTCACAGAGATCCTCCTGCCCCTGCCTCCTGAGTGCTGGGATTAAAGGCATGTGCCAGCGCTGCCCTGCTAGTATTTCTTTCTTTAGATTTTAAATTATTTTTCTAAAAAAGGTTTGACTTTTATATGTATGGGGGTCTTGCTTACATGTATGTATGTGCACCGTGCACATGCCTAGTGCCTGAGGCAACCAGAAACCCATGCTGCACCCTCTGTTGTGAGGCACAGTGTGGGAGCTGGGGACTGCACTTGGTCCTCTGCAAGGGCAGGATGTGCCCTTAACCACTGAGCATCTCTCCACGTGCACGGCATCCTGAGCACCATGACTGCTCAGGAGAGCCTGTCATCTCACAGCACCCCTTAGGAAGCACCATGCAGACCACCACAGAGCACACGGGTGGAGCTGCCAAGTCCAGGGACAGTGCAGTCCCCCCTCACCTGGTGCTGTCACCCTGAAGACCTGGGTCTGCACTTGTAAGGGGGACCACCCTCACTGGTGTCACGTAATGTCTGCACCTTCACGTCCCACATCCTAACGGCCTTGTTTCCCTGCAGGCCATCTTGTCAGAAGGAGCTCTTCCCCGGGTGAACACAGGATGAGCAGCACTGGGTTGGAATGTTAAAGTGTCACAGTGCAGAGGGCAATGGGGCCTGAGGCCACAGCCGTCATCCTCATCTGCTCCTTTGGCCTGGGACTGAGAGCTCCGCCTGCCTCTGTCCCCAAGTGCTGGGACTACAGGTGTGTGCCACCACGCGGCTCAGCTCCTCTCAAGGCTGGGGTCCTGTCACGCCTGCACTGACAGTCCACCCTGGAGCTGCCGGGATTGCTAGATGTCCTGCCTACAGAAGATACTCATGAGCATCACTGTGAAGTGGATTCTAGGCACCTGCAAACAGCACCAGGCAACCAACTCCTCCTCCCCTCACTATGTGACACTTTTTAAGTACGTGGATGCTGAGAAGGGGGACCCGAATACTGGGGGACAGAGGCGAGGTCGGCCTCCATATAAAGTAACACAGAGAGGCTACTGAAACGCACACAGGGCGTTAATAAGAAGGCTGGCTGCACGTGGTCTTCCTCCTCACCAGTTCACGAGCTGCTGCTTACTTACTGACGACCCACGTCTGTCCTGTCACTTCTGTCCTGTCACAGGCATCTCCTAGATCCACACGCACTAGAGTGGACCGTGCCTCCCCAGGCCACACTGAGATCTCCACGGCTTCAGTGACCTCTGAGTTCTAGTCGGACGCCGCTGCTGTGGTCAGTTAGGGGTTAGGAAGTGCTAGCGTAGACAACAGTACCTCTGAGACACCTCAGGAGCTACGGCAGTTCTAGACATGTTCTAGACATCCCCTAGGAACATGACACACAGAGAGAGAACACCAGATGGCATGTGCAGCATGGGCCACACCTGCGGCACAAAACAGCAGCCTGGGATTCCAGCTGTCAGCAGATATGGCAGCCACCTTCAGTCAAGCCTGCCTCCTCACAGACGAATGCACATCACTCCAGACTGTGGCCATCCGCGTCAGCAGTGGAGAGATGCCGCGTCTGCTGGCCTGGGCTCTGAAGGTCTCGGGTCCCAGGAGGGCCGCCCACCCGGATCTCCAGCAGAGCCCGCTGTGGGCGGGTCAGTCCGAGGGCCTGAGCCCTGCACCACTGTCACTCCCAGTACTTCCCTCTTCGTTCGAATAGTTCCCCGAGTCCTGGCTGGTCTGGGAGCTGTACTTCCTGTGATCTTCCTCGGATGCTTGGCTTTCTTCTGTCACTGAGTCTGTGTTTTCAATGATGAAGCACCTCTCGGTGTGTTCCTCGGGCATCAGAAACAGAAGGTTCTTTGAAGACGGCTCAGAGAAAAACTAATGATAAAAAAGGAAAGGAGCACAGGTTTACAATAGAAACTGATTTTCTAGCTCTGACTTCTTTGCTTTCTTATGTCCAACAGCAGCAGACCTACCTTTGGGCGTGTGCATTACAACAGAGAGCTAGACTCAGCACCGCACCGTAAGGCTCAGAGGGCTCAGGCAGACTGCCAGGCTGAGGCCTTTTTTGGGTAAGTCTGTGAAGAATGCTTAGACAGACACTGAGCTGTCCAGGCTGGGTGGGGACACTGGGATCATGGTCATTTGGAAGTCACAGCGTCCGGTTCACCGGCACTCAAAAGCACAAGTGAGAGATGACATCTCCCTGCTGATCTAGCTGGAAGGAGCCGGTTCTGTTCACAGCGTGGCTGTCAGTCCCAGAGCACCAAGGGGAATTTAAAACTCCAGCATGCGGGAAGTGAATGCTGAGCTCTGAGGGCTTCCTGCCTTTTACAACTCGGTATCAGGGACCCCTCTTACAGATCTTGCTCACTTTCACACGGCAGCATGGTCATCAACTACTCCCCTGGACCTCTTTATCCAAAGCCTGACCTCTCGATCCCACCACTTCTCAAGCGCAGCCTGCCCTGCCCTGGGGGGAACAGATCGTCCCTTGGGTCCCAGGTTCGAGGATTAGCCCTTCCACACTCAGTGCTATTACTTAAGGTGCTAACCTCACAGGAGTCCTGAGCGAAACACTCATGCACCATTAAAGGAAACTCCTGGTTTTGGTTTCACTGAGACTTCACCCAGGGGACTAGGTGAAGACAGATGGATAACAGGGTAATGGCGTTTCTGATATGGTGTGAAAAAGCACACAGCTAACAAACGGTACGACACATGCGGCAAGAGGTCAGGGACAAGTCATTGTTCCGACTGCAACATACGTCACCAGTGAATGGTCAAGTGCCGCAGAGAGCAGACTATGGGAATCAGGTGGCTCCTTGTCTCAGACTCACACATGTTCATCTCAAGTGTCCTCCAAGACTGACCGTCCTACAGCATGCTAGCCCCTCACCCCGTGACAAGGACACAGGAGAAGAGCAAGAAGGCACACCAAGGTAACTAGTGTTTATCCCCTGGCATCAAGTGCCTGTGCTGGGAACAGGAAGTGGGAAGCCTCACTCATGGAGAAAATGTGCGCCCTAGACTGCATCGAGACTCCAGGTGACTGCTGGGGCAGAGCTTCACGGTCACTTCTTGGGGCTGTCGTAAGTGCAATTGATGATTCTGCTACTGTCTGCTGTCCACTTCCACTTTTGCTGCTACATTCTTAAATGTGCTCATTTGCAACAAAATACAGCTACTGCAGATCACTCCTGAACAGAACAGCTATTACACATTAAGCCATTGTTTCTAAGATTTTCTTTTTTTTTGAGACAGGGTTTCACTGTGCAGCCCCGCCTGACCCTAAATTCACAGAGATCCACCTGCCTCTGCCTCCTAAGTTGAGGTTAATGGTGCATGCCATCACACCTGGTCTGTGACAGGGTCTCTCTGCAGGCCTGGCTGGCCTGGAGTTTCTGAAAACCTCGTCTTGTTTTTGGAGATAGGATCTGACTACTCAGCTCACACTGGCCTCAAACTCACTGCAATCCTCCTGTCTCAGCTTCTGGAGTTTTACAGGCATGCACTACCATACCAGGCTTCCACATCACTGGAATTCTGAAGAAACAGTCACATCATCTCAGATTATTCTCTGGACATCAAGAAAGCACAGATCATCTGTTGACTCCAAACATTTGCTCCCCATTTCCTAGCTGGTGATAAGAAGAGAAACTCACCTCTTCAATACTGGGGGGAGGCTTGGGGGATGAAAAGTACACACAACTGAGGTATTTCAGGAGGCTCCTCCCAGCATATAAAACCAGGACCAGGACAGAAAAAATCACAATGCTAAGTGCAATCATAATCCAGATTTGGGAAGAATTTCCTAAAACACATAAATGATAAGAGCATCAGCACATTCTTTTTTATTTATTTTTTAAAATTTTTCGAGACAGGGTTATTCTGTGTAGCAACTTGGCTATCATGGAACTCTCTCTGTAGACTAGGCTGGCCTTGAACTCAGAGATCCGCCTGCCTCTGCCTCCCAAGTGCTGGGAGTAAGTCGTGCGCCACCACCATCTGGCCAGCATCAGCACATTCTTCTGAGACCAGCCATGGGAGAGGAGAAACAGTGTCCTGAGAACCTTTTTGGGTAGCACTTAAAACACTGCTGTGGGCAGTGACAGTCACACTTGAAGACTGTCCTGAGCAGTGAGCCTCGGATGAAGAGAAGACCCGTATGAACAGAGGGTCGGTCCATCAGCTGGTGTCCCTAGCTCTTGCACGACTTGGACCCCACAGAACTGGCAGAGCCTTCTGTGGCTAAGCCAGTGACCTCTGGGAACTAAAACACAAAGCAGACCAAAGCATGGGCATTTCCACAAGCTCACTGAAGACTAGAGAACAGAAACGTTACCAGTGAGTGATCTGGGTGTCTGTCAACGAGCAGTAACTACAGACATGTGACCATGTGAGCACTGGATGAGGAGCAGCACTAACTACAATGATCATGTGAGCACTGGATGAGGAGCAGCAGTAACTACAGACATGCAACCATGTGAGCACTGGATGAGGAGCAGCAGTAACTACAATGATCATGTGAGCACTGGATGAGGAACAGCAGTAACTACAGACATGTGACCATGTGAGCATTGGAGGAGGAGCAGCACTAACTACAATGATCATGTGAGCACTGGATGAGGAGCAGCAGTAACTACAGACATGTGACCATGTGAGCACTGGATGAGGAGCAGCAGTAACTACAATGATCATGTGAGCACTGGATGAGGAGCAGCAGTAACTACAGACATGTGACCATGTGAGCACTGGATGAGGAGCAGCACTAACTACAATGATCATGTGAGCACTGGATGAGGAGCAGCAGTAACTACAGACATGTGACCATGTGAGCACTGGATGAGGAGCAGCAGTAACTACAATGATCATGTGAGCACTGGAGGAGGAGCAGCAGTAACTACAATGATCATGTGAGCACTGGATGAGGAGCAGCAGTAACTACAATGACCATGTGAGCACTGGATGAGGAGCAGCAGTAACTACAGACAATGATCATGTGAGCACTGGATGAGGAGCAGCAGTAACTACAGACATGTGACCATGTGAGCACTGGAGGAGGAGCAGCAGTAACTACAGACAATGATCATGTGAGCACTGGATGAGGAGCAGCAGTAACTACAATGATCATGTGAGCACTGGAGGAGGAGCAGCAGTAACTACAATGATCATGTGAGCACTGGATGAGGAGCAGCAGTAACTACAATGATCATGTAAGCACTGGATGAGGAGCAGCAGTAACTACAATGATCATGTGAGCACTGGAGGAGGAGCAGCAACAGGAAACAGGAACTGAACTGAGCAGAAGAGCGTTCCATGGAGGACTCGGCTGGCTTCACTTCTGATTGCTGTGGTTCAGGAAGGACATTTTCTACCATTTGAAGAAAGAAGAAATTCTTCACTAATCTCAAGGCAGTACTTTTTTTTTCTGCAGGCCAGAAGAGGCACCAGATGTCATTACAGATGGTTGTGAGCCATCGTGTGGTTGCTGGGAATTGAACTCAGGACCTCTGGAAGAGCAGTCAGTGCTCTTAACCGCTGAGCCATCTCTCCAGCTCCAAAGGAAGTACGTTTATCACCTCTAGCTACATGAAGACATCCAGAAGCTTCTCACCTGGCCTCGTTTCCTTACACAGCGTCTCACTGAAGCTGCTGCTCTTGTTCCACACGGCAAACGAGTGTACCCTGGCTTGTACACAATACAGAGTCAGTGGCTGCAGGTTCCCAATGGTAAACTCTGGGCTTTCCTTCACCATTTTCATCTATAAAATAATAAAGTCAGTGATAAAAATCAGTCACTTCATGAAATCTGACAGAGAATATGTATTTTCTGGATTCCTTTTCTATTCATGATGGTCTCTTCCCAGCACCTAGTGGCTATGTATCCAAGGAATATCAATGTTAAGTGACCCGTCATAATCAAATCAGTTAGAAATCTGTTTTCAAAACAGCACACGATGCCTCCTCCCTCAGGTCATGCTATGCCCACTGTAGCCTACCCACTGTAGCCTAACGGTGGGACAGTCAAGGGTAAGGGGTTCCAGCCTCGCTCTGCCGCTGCCCACAGTAATCACCACACAAGCTGTGCTGCCTGGTGGGAGCATCTCATTGGTCCCTTATTTCCTGATCTCTGAAGTGAGAATTGTCTTTACCGTCTGTATGGATCACCCAGTGCTACAACAGTGCTGTGTAACATTTCAACACTCATTCGGCCACAAACTGGCTAGGGCAGGTCCCTGAGGCCTGGCCCACCAGTCTCCTCAGTGAGGAAGTGAGCAATACTCACCGCTATTTGCCACCCAAATGAACTGCCAACACTGCCTCCCAGAGTTGTTATGAAGAAAGACAGGGCAGGTCATGTAAAAACCTTAGCACAAGACAGGCTACGAGTTGCTGCTGTGATCACAGGGACACCGTGGGACAGCACAGCCACTGTGACGTACTAGTCTGTGCCAGGTATCTCACATGCCACCTCATTTCAAATCTGACCAACACCTGGGAAACCCGAGCTGCTAGGGATACCACTGCTTTAGAGAGCAAGAAACCTGTATAAGGTCAGCCATAGAGTCTGTCAGCACGGGATCAGAATCAGCTGGTCTGACCTCAGGCCTGGCGAACGCTGAGGACAGTTCTCAATGAGTTAAGGGACGCTGCAGTTGGTATAGGCAGACAGAGAAGTGGAAGCAGACGGCGCTTTGGGATTTGTTTAAATGCCACCACACGTGAAGAGACAACAGTTACTATCTCAACCGCACCAGATTTTAGGCTTGGTTCCTTGACTGAAATTCCACGGGGTTCATGCGTGGGATGGATGGGTTCCGTCAAATGACTGGTTCAGAGCAGCACCTTCTCATTACTACTCCACAAGGAGATGTGTTTGCTGTTCTCCCCCACGGGTTATGCTGAACTCTGGAGTCCACAGACGTCATCACAGCGAGGCTCTGTCAACACTGAGCTGCCCTCTGAGGACAGGTGACAATCTGGAGCTCCTTGGTTGCCACACTTCTGAGGGAGCACTACAGACACCCGAGAGAGCCCCGTGATGTAAGGACAAATTTACCACAATGAATGACCTGGCCCAAATGTCATTCTTGCAAAGGAACCTTAGTTTGGAAAGTACTTGGGAATCACGATAAAATGGATCTAATTCCATAGCAATAGACTCAAGATATATTTAAAAACTGGCAAGATGGCCTAGTGGGTAAAGGTGCTTGCTGAAAAGCCTGACCACTGAGGTCAATCCGTGGGAGGTAGATGGTAGAGTCACTTCCCCAACCTGTCCTAGGCCTCCATGTGTGCCCTGTGATGCACACACAATACATAGGTAATTGTAAACATCCACGCACGCACAACAAAGTAGAGCCCAGATGCAGGCAACCTGTAACTGTCATGCAGAACATGGAAAAGGCTGACATTCACTCTACTGCACACAGTCACAGTCATAGATGGTTAAAAGGCCTCCCTCAAACCTTAAAGCACAATTTCTCCCTCTTCCTCCCTGCTCAGTTTCTTTCCCAAATCACAGTTGTGAGGCTAAGTCACAAAGTTCCTGTGTAGGCTTTTTACCTTAGTATTTGAAGTGTTTTCCCAGACACTGACTTCATAAGTCAGTCCATGACATGTGGTGCTGGGGCTGTCCTGACAGCTGACGTAGACAAGCAATGAATCCCTGGACGGGGTGACGGCAATGACTGGAGGGGGAATGGCAGCTGGGGAGGCACAGAGAGAAGAAAGGTGGAGTCAGGCACCTTCAAACAATTCTACCAACTTGAGCTAACTGAGGAATTACAGCGCCATGTAAACCACTGACCTAGGGCATGCATGAACCACACCCATAATCTCAGCTCTCAGGAGCTCAGGCAGGACAACTGCCATGAGTTTGAACCTAGCCTGGGCTACCCAGTGAGTTCCAGGCCAGCCTGGTCTAGTGTCAGATGCTGTCTCAAAGAAAACTTGACTTACTGTATTTTTGAGAATTAATAAGTTTCTCTTCAGACCAAAAAGATGTGTTATCTCCATGTGATGCTTGTACCCGGAGAAAGAAAGTTCCTGTGTGGACGGCATCCCGAGGAAAGACACAGCGCGTAGTTCGGACATCCGCACAGGTCGGAATGGTTTCCCATTTATCCAAATAGCTTCCAGAAATACTTTTGAAATAGCTACTGTGGAAGAACAAAAACAAAGGTTAAAGTAATCGTTAAATCAGTAAACATGTATGGAGTGACGATTTATAATACATCAGACACTGCAGTAAGAGCTACGGTCCCAGAGACAGTCTCCCCACTTAAGAAACTCGAGGAACAATGGAAGAGGCCCTGATTTCCAACAAAGGAGAGCTGGGGATGCTCCAGAGTGTGCATGTACTTCTCAGTAGTGTGGCAAGCTGTTCCTCACTGTGTGTGTGTGTGTGTGTAGCTAAAGTTTTCCTGCCTGGCCCACAGTTAGGACAAACTCTCTCACCTGCCAGTCCCACAGCTGCTCAAACCCGACCAAGTAAACACAGAGACTTATACTGGTTACAAACTGTATGGCCGTGGCAGGCTTCTTGCTAACTGTTCTTACAGCTTAAATTAATCCATTTCCATTAATCTATACCTTGCCATGTGGCTCATGGCTTACCAGCATCTTCACATGCTGTTTGTCATCGTGGCGGCTGGCAGTGTCTCCTGACTCAGCCTTCCACTTCCCAGCTTTATTCTCCTCCTTGTCCCGCCTATACTTCCTGCCTAGCCAATGGCCAATCAGTGTTTTATTTATTGACCAATCAGCAACACATTTGCCATACAGAACATCCCACAGCATGTGTGTGTGTTTGTGTGTGTGTTGCGGGATGTGTGACTGTGTGAATGTTTGTGTGTTTATATACAGGCCTTAAGTTGATGTCAGGGTATCTTGGTCACTCTCCACTTTACCGAGACAGGATACCTCACCCAACTTGCAGCTTGCTGACTTGACTAGTCTAGCTAGCCAGCTTGCCCCAGAACACCCTGTCTGACTCCCAGGTGTTGGGATTATAGGTGCTGCCACACCTGTAGGACTTTACCTGGGTTCTAGGGATCTCAACTCTGACTCGTGTTTACATCGTGAGCACTTTCTCTGCTAAGTCATCTCTTCAATACATGTTTATAAACACATTATTATTATAAAAACTGATATAAACATTCAGAAATAAAAACTTACTAAAAATATTCAAACCTCATTTTGTCTTATGTGCTGGCTCGTTTTGTGTGAACTGGACACAAGCTATAGCCATCTGAGAGAAGGGAGTCTCGAGTGAGGAAATGACTGGAGAATATCCAGGCTGTCAGCAGACAAGCCTGTAGGGCGTTTTCTTAACTACTGATCTATGGGGAAGGGTCCAGCCCACTGTGGGTGTGGACACCCCTAGCTGGTGGTCCCGGGTTCGAGAACAAAGTCCTGAGGAGCAAGCGAGTAAGCAGTACCCCTCCATGCCTTTGCATCAGCTCCTGCCTCCAGGTTCCTGCCCTGCTTGATCTGAGTTCCTGCCCTGACTTCCCTCAGTGATGGACTGATACAGAAGTACAAGTCAAATAAACCCTTTCTTCCTCAAATTGCCTTTGGTCACAGTGATTCATCACGACTGTAACAATAACTGCTGGAGGCTGTGGGAGTATACAGCAGGTGACAACTAGTACTTCACAAGGTGACCTAGCCGATGACTGATTCTCCGATGGGGAGCCCCCATTTGGCAAAGACCATGGGGGTCACTGACTCTGACTCGTTTGTTTCTGTCTGTAATTCTCTCATGTGCTGCCACAATTCCTCCCTAAACACAACGGCTGTAGGATTCCTTCCACAGCCCACTGGTAGTGCGTGTTACACTTTGGGGGCACACTTATAGCTGTGGATGGATAGGAAGATGATTTCTGCTTAGGTTGTATAATTCTGATGAATAGAAATAACAGTAGGATATTTTTCATTACTAAGACTGACACAGGAAAATTCTCAGCTAAAAAGACAGCCTTTTACACATTTAGCTGATTTTAGACTTTAGAACAAATTAACAACAGACTAGCTGCCCTTGCAAATAAAAACACACAAGGACAAGTTCCCAGGTGTCTGTTAAACCAAGGTCAGGCATGAAGAAACTGGTACACATTACCCCTGCAGCAATTAACTTTCTGCACATACTCCTAACTACTCAAGGTTCAGCCAACTAACTGTTTATTGTTTAAGTCCTGAATTTCAATGTCACTCTCTGTCTGGGAACCCTGACCACTCAGAGCTACATGCTTACTTTACTCACCATGCCCAGTCAGAATGGCCTCCCTAGCTTGAGAAAAACTGTGTGACTTATCATGTGTTATGAGAATGGGTCGGACCCTGTATATGTAACTTACATCTGTCCAGAGTTTGGCTGTTGAAGTGTGTGTGTGTGTGTGTGTGTGTGTGTGTGCAGAGACAGCTGTGTAGAAGATGAGTGGCTACGTAGAGGAGAGAGCTTGTATAGTTAGATAGAAAAGAGATGTGTATGTAGGGCAGAAATGTGTGTGCAGAGGAGAGTGAGAGAGTGAGTGAGAGGGATGCAGAAGAGAAGTGCAAAGTGAAGAAATGTGGCAGGGTAGAGAGACGTGTGTAAGAGACAGCTGTGTGAAGAGATGAAACTGTATATAAAGTTGTGTGGAAAATGTAGCTGTGGGAGATAGATTTTCACAAGATGAAGTAAAAGAGAAAGTTACCATCAGAAAGTATGCGCTTCCTTATTTTCCCCTCAGATAGTAAAGTCTAGCTAGCCCTTGCTGCATTCTTGGAATTTTTGCATGCCCTGGAGGCGGTCTTGGAGCAGGGTCTCTCAAAGGCCACCAGTACATAACTGAGAAATCCTACCTATATTTTAACTTTTCTTAAAGCTACTTTTAACTATCATATGCTAAAATACACTACTTAACAGTGCACAATGTGCATACATATCATCCCAAGTCCACAATCAAAGACTTCAAGCTGGTAGTTTCAAAGTGATCATGATGGGAATATTTCTGTCACAAAATTCAGCCAACACTACAAATAGGGCTTTTCCCTTCTGGAAAGGAAGTTGCAGCATCGACATACCCCTGCAAAAGTGCCATAACACAGATCCGTGCCATCCATTGCAGAGCACATCCCACCAAGGCTAAGCCCCTACCTGAGACTAGAGATAAAAACCTATTGGCCAATAGACTGCAACTCAAAGCATCTCACTTTAAGGCCAGAACCACAAACCTCCCAGTTGGCTTCCTCAGGCCTGGTGCCACTTGAGCACAAGGCCCCACACAGAATCTGGCCATATACAGCTTTCCAAAACAGACTCCATGCCACCTCCCCTCCAGCACAAAATTCCCAATGGTTCCCAAAGACCTGTAAGATAGGCAGCCAGGGCCAAGCCTGGTCCCACACAACTCCTTTTGTTTTCTAGAGTCACTTCTCCTTGTCCAAATGTCCTGCTCTCCCAGGACACCCTCCTACCGCGGCAGGCAACATTCTAGGACACCCCCAAGGCTCCTGCCCTCCTCTGCTGCACACCTCCTACCATCCTCTCCAAGGGTGTGGGCAGGACCTGAGGAGATGGCAGCCGCTTTGCTTTCCTGTCAGCTTACACTATCTGGCAGGAGGAGGGCTTTTGAAGATTTAGCTAAGGACCCAATCCGCCATTCTGAGTGAAAGAAATGAAACATCTTGGTGGACATGACCTCTGAGATGAACCTTAACACAGGTGTAAAGGTCACAGTCCCCTCCTAATGGCCTCTGAGAGGCTGCCTCAAGTAATACAGCTTTAAGACATGGCTTCTGTCCACAACGACAGGATCATGCAGGACAAAGGCAAGTGTTGGATGAAATCACCCTTCTCAGTGACATTCATTTTTCTTTTCTTTGTGTGTGAGGAAGTGAGTGTGTGCACATGTGGACCAGTATGGTGTATGCATCTGTGTATGTGCTGGGATGTGTACAGCGGCCAGGGCTGGCCATCAGGTGCTCTGCTCTGTCACGCTTCACCATATACCTTGAGACAGGGAACCTCCACTGAAATTCCCTCTTCCCACCATCACACCCACCTCTCAGTCACTTTGTGTGCAGCAAGTTGCACAAGAAGTCGTATGAATGAAATAAAAGCAAACTGGGTAAAGGAACAATTAGGACAGGAACTTACGGGAACCACTGCGCTCGGAAGCTCACGTTTGGAGATGCATAGTCCCAGCTCAGAACATAGCTCTCACCATCAGCGTCCACTTCTATGTTTTCTGGCACAGGCATTTTATCTGCCACTAGAAGCCAAAGAATCCATTAAACATACATTTTAAACTGAGACTGAACCATAGTTGTCATGTTTGATTTTAAGAATCAAAACGTACTAAATCTGTAATTAAAGCCATGAGCAAGGCCAGCTCACACCCTGACCATAATTGTTGGCAAGGTTGGCAGTGACTTAAGTGTTTCAGGCTGTTTTCATTTCTGACATTTCATCTGTAGTGGTATGCTTTGGGTACCAACCATTCTGCTGGCAACTACATGAGGTATTACAGGCAAGTAAAAAACATTTATGATACTATAAAAATTTTAACTTTTAAGTGAAATTAACTTTCATTAGTATTGAGACAAAAGTTATAAAGTAGCCGGGCGGTGGTGGCGCACACCTTTAATCCCAGCACTCGGGAGGCAGAGCCAGGCGGATCTCTGTGAGTTTGAGGCCAGCCTGGGCTACCAAGTGAGTTCCAGGAAAGGCGCAAAGCTACACAGAGAAACCCTGTCTCGAAAAACCAAAAAAAAAAAAAAAAAAAAAAAGTTATAAAGTAAATGACTTGATTCTGTAAGTACTGTTATTCTTCCTTCCTTTGCGCACGCATGCACGAGTGTGTGTGTGTGTGTGTGTGTGTGTGTGCCAGGTAAGTGTTCAATCACACATCCCGACCCAATACTTTGTTTTAATAATTATTAACCCATCATAAACTTCATCACATAACATGGTCCAGAGGAGAAAATGGCCCAGTCAAAGGCTGTCATGTTCAGTTACTGATCTAAAGCCGAGCTCCTCCTTACCTGTGGTGTTTATACACTGCACTGCACTGTAGCTGCTGTGTTTCCTAAGGAAAAAATGTATTGCTTCCACTTTTAAACAGTAAGTAGTCTCCGGTAACAGTTTTAAAATCCTTTCTGTGTAATACGTGGTTTCAATAATTTGCTATAAAAAAGATAAAAAAATATACAGTCAAATTTTAGAATTCAAACACCTCCTCCTTTCTCACATCAAACCAAGGTAAAAATAGAAACTTACTGTCACACCTGAAGACTTCTGCCAGATTACTATCTTGTACCTGAAGCTAAAATTATCTCTTGCCCACATGTTTCCACCTTGTCCGGGATGAGTGATGTATACTAGTATAGCTTTATCTTCAGCTTCTAAACGTACTCCTGGGGGGCCAATGTGAGCTGTTGACATCAGAGAAGAATTATATAACTTCAGTAGTACCATTCCAAAATGTTCACAATAAACAACGTCTGCCCCTGTCGGGTAGTGGTGGCCCACACCTTTAATCCCAGCACTCGGGGGGGTGGGGGGGTGGGGTGGGGGGGTGGGGGGGGGTGGGTGGGTGGGGTCGGGGGTGGGGTGGGACAGGCGGATCTTTGTGAGTTCGAGGCCAGCCTGGTCTACAAAGTGAGTTCCAGGACAGGCTCCAAAGCTCCAGAGAAACTCTGTCTTGAAAACCCAAAACAACGTCTGCCCCATGTGGTAAGACAGAGGGAAGCCCTCACAGGTCTCACACCTTGGGAGGACATGGCAAGAACAACGCCCAGACAAAGACATGCACATACACACTGCAGAAAACCATGTACAGAGCAGGGACTGGCACAAGCAGGAAAGCTGTTCTGCATCCTCCAAGCAGAAGTCTGAAGAAAGCATGGAGTTGTGCAACACACAGCAGAGAAGCAGCCCAGGCCCTGTGGATCACCTGTGAAGTCTCTAAGACGGGACGGTGCAGGGTGCAGAGGGAGGGCTCAGAAACAGTCTAGACCTGGCTGGAGCCCACGCAGAGGGAATGGCAGCAATTTTAGAAGACACTGGGGGACTGAGCTTGGCCGAGAGTCAAACCCCATTCAGGTTTGAGAATGATCAGCCTGGCCAAGGGAGGAGGAAGCAGCAAGGTCAGCAAGAAATCAGTGAAGAAGACAAGGGCCTCGGCAAAAAGGTAAAAGATGTCTCGGACATCCTCACCTGATGGGTCAGACGGAATGTGTTAAGGTATAAAATGTAGGAAAGGGTCAAAATGAACCCAGGGTCTGAGCTTGAGCAAATTACCAGCTGATGTCATTCCCTGAGACATGAGGGCTACAGGAAAGGCTGTGAGGGAGACTGAGAGCTCCACTTGATTATTCTACTGTGAGATGGCTTTAACATCTAGGGAGACACTGGATGGACATGGTGACACCAGTCTAATGCTCAGAGGGAGCAATGGGGCAGGGGAGGTAATTCTGGGAGTCAAAGCAGGTTTAATGACTAGGTCTTCTGCAGCCCAACCTTGAAATCTCCTGGAGAAAAGACCAAAAGAAAAAGAAAGAGGAAAAAACTGAGTGAGCAGGAGACTGAGGAGCGAGCGGTGCCCCAGAGAGCCAGGAGAGGAAGAGCTTCGAGGAAAAGGAGCCATGTCCACGCTGTGCTCAGACGCACCGAGCCTGAGGAGCGGGGATACATCTGTTAGAAGAGGTGGCTGTGACATCGGCAGAAGTAATAATACATGAGAAGGAAGAAAGTGAATGGACAGTGATGAGAAGGGAATGGGAGGAAGTGACAGACAGGGAATTCAGGCCATTCCTTTTTAAGACCACGACAGGGTAGTGTTTCCTGAATTCTGGTCTCTAGATCTCTTTACACTGCTATAGAAATCATGGAAGCTGTCAAAGGCCTGTTTACACTGCTATGTGCTTTCACATCCAGCTACTGGCCATTAAAAGAGATAAAATTACAAAATGTTTGTGAATTCACAAAGATGATAAAACTATCAGACACACCGCTCAAAAGTACATTTCCAAAATCAACAAGAACTTAAAGGTGTGATATTGCTCTACATTAAAAAAATCTCATTAACATGTGACTAAGCGACAGAGACCCCTGTCTGCAGTCAGTAAGTTCACACCGGGTGTCTGGTGTCCTTTCCAAATTCCTGTGTTTATAGAGATATCACAATGAATGAGGCAAGTCTCTGAGTTACTAGGGAAAGCCTTGACTTTATGGGACTCCTAAAAGGCTCTTGGCGATGACACTTGGAGAGCCACTCACAGAGGCCAGAAGAATGGGCCTCAGCGGAAGGGAGCGTCACCACGCAGATGGATGGGGTCACAGAGAACTCTGGTGACATTTGCTAGAGAACAACACAGCCAACAACGTTTCTTACCTTTTTGAAAAGGAATAAACGGGTCACCCTCATTCCATGGAGAAGTGCTCTTTCCTTTTTCTGCTCTTACTCGAAATGAGATTTTGATATAAACATTTGTGTCCAGTAAAGAGAATTTGCATTCGGTCCCCGTAATATGTTGACACCCAGGCAATTTTAACCAGTTTTCCATCTCTTCTCTTTTAATTGAGAAAAAAAAGACTGAATGAGCTAATCTATACATATAGAAGTTTCAAATACATTTTCTATTAACCAACATAGTTAGTTTAAGAATTTATTTCCTATGTTAAGTGTCACGTGTGCTGAGTATGTGAGCCTAAGTGAAGGGCCAGAAACAAAATACAAACAAACAAACAAAAACAACAATGGTTGCAGCTAAAAGGCCATGGGCAATGTGCAATGGACCGCACAAACTGTGCCCAAGGCAATTCATAAATTTGTCATTTGGAACAACAGAGGCTGCTGCCATCAGGGACATTTCTAAAGCAAATGCCTTCAAAGGTTATGTGCTTTACCAGGTCTCTCCAAGCTGCATTACCACATGAGCTGCGCTATTCACAGCAAGGTGGTCAGCAACCCACTTGTGAAGGCTGGAATGACTGAGTACCCCAATCATGATTTAGACCTGTTGATACTGCCCTGTGACCTCCACCAAAGCCCACATACAGAGACAGCTTCATAATGACAGAAGAAAAACATCTGGGAAAAATACAATGGAAATCATACTTAGAAAAAGCATGTCTTTGAGATAATGTCTGTTGACATTTACCTGATACCCTCTGATTCCTTTTGGATACAGATGAGCCAAGTTACTAATTGAATATGTCAGATATCTAGTTAATTTTTGTTGTTCTTTGAGACAGGGTTTCTCTGTAGCCTTGGCTGTCCTGGAACTCACTCTGGCCTCAAACTTGGAGATCTGTTGGCCTCTACCTCCCAAATGCCACCATCACCTGGCCATTTAGTCAATTTTTTTTTTTTTTGGTTTTTCGAGACAGGGTTTCTCTGTGTAGCTTTGCGCCTTTCCTGGATCTCGCGCTGTAGACCAGGCTGGCCTCGAACTCACAGAGATCCGCCTGCCTCTGCCTCCTGAGTGCTGGGATTAAAGGCGTGCGCCACCACCGCCCGGCCATTTAGTCAATTTTTAACAGAGTTTTCACTTCAATTTTATGAGTGGTTATATTAGCAGTTCAAGGAAACAGAAACAAATGATCCATGAGACAAAAGCAGATATGGCCGGCCTGGTTCAAGACAACTGTGTGACTTCTGGGAAATGGGCCTGCATCTCTGACTTTAACTTCCTTATTAAAGATTGGAATTGATCTGATGATGATGGCGGCCTTCTGACCCTCTATGAATAGACTGCCTATCCTAGGACAGATCTCAGCACTGTGTGACCCCTTCTGACCCTCTATTAAAGCTGGATGCACCTGGTAATTGTTAAAGGGAGATCTGGAACTAGAGATAAGATTTGGAAAAGGAGAAAGTTTCCTTAGCACATCCACCTGGCCTGGGCAATAGTCCGTGTGAATCTTTACCTTCTCTGCAGATGGTCTGTTCTCAGAAAGTCTGGGAAGTTTCTCAGATAAGATACTTCTGTCCAGAGATGGTTCTGTCCAGATGTTGCTAATGACGATAGTTACAGAGAGGCTTGAAACTAGGGGTCTTGGCTGTGTCTGTTGTTAGCACAGACGGAAGAAGGTTGTCCAAATATTCCAAAAGTAATGGGGAAATTGTGCCCAATGAATGATCAAACACGTTGTTCTTAGACAAAGAACTGAATGGAAAGCTACGATAGCACACAAGAAATCATCCCAGGAAAACGGTATCTTTTTTTTTTTTTTTTGGTTTTTCGAGACAGGGTTTCTCTGTGTAGCTTTGCACCTTTCCTGGAACTCACTTGGTAGCCCAGGCTGGCCTCGAACTCACAGAGATCCGCCTGGCTCTGCCTCCCGAGTGCTGGGATTAAAGGCGTGCGCCACCACCGCCCGGCTGAAAACGGTATCTTAATATTCAGGAGCCAGCGTCACCAGGGCTTCTGGAGCCGGCCCAACCTCTGGAGGCCCTTGGCCTCTCCCAGGTGTTAGCTTTGTCACAGTCAGCTCAATTCCTACTTCACATTTCTGTGGCTCCCAGCAATCCTCTATGAATAGTCAACATAATCTAGGACAGACCTCAGCATTAGGTGGTATGTCTCCTTTGCTCTCTTCCAAAGCAATCACTCTGTTTCCTGGGGTCTTTTAAAGATTTCTTTTAAAATTGTGTGTATATGTGTCTGTGTGTCGGCATGTGTATGTTACTGTGGGAACCCATGGGTTCAGAAGCTTGGGAAACAGCTGAAGCTAGGGCTGTGAGCTGCCTGGCCTGTGCCGAGCACCTAAGCTGGGTCCTCTGCAAGGCCAGTGCTTTACTGCTGAGCAGTTAAACTTCTTTAGACCCCTTGGCAGGTCACTGTAAACAAAGGGATTCCAGTGGAAATGTCCAATCTGGAAAATTTAGGAGACTGGTCTTAGTAGTCTTAAAATGGGGCATGGTTGGGAATGGTGATCCATGTTTAGAATCCTAGCACTGGGGAGGCTGAGACAGGGGGATTGAAACTTTGAGGCCAGCCTGGGCTAAACAGTAAGTTTGAAATCATTCTAGACTATATAGTAAGACTCCACAAACAACATTTCAACAAACAAACAAATATAACAAGAAAAAACAATAAAATTAAATAATAAAAGTGTGGTGGGAGTGTTGCTCAGTGGCCAGTGCTGACCCAGCACATGTAATGCCTTGACTCGGTATGACTGACAAAGTGACTCACTGCATACAATGGCTGAATATAAAATTAGCCCCACTACCCTTTCAACCCACCATTATTTGTTATCTTCGTCTCCCTTTATGTTCCTGGAGATGTAGTTTACCTGTCGATACATGGCTACTGTGTTCAAGGGAGCTTCTTACACTGGGAACTAGTTTTATATTTCCTTTAAAAATTCTTTATTGGGGCTGAAGAGATGGCTCAAAGGTTAAGAGTATTGGCTGCTCTTCCAGGGGTCCTGAGTTCAACTCCCACCAACCACATGGTAGTTCACAACCATCTGTAATTCAATCTGCTGCCCTCTTCTGGCATGTAGGCATAATAAATAAATCTTTAAAAAAATTCTTTATCATATACAATAATTACAGCAGAATGCAATTTGAAACATGGCTATTTAACGGATATAAGACTCATTCACAAGCTTGGTCTCACGAAGTAACGTCACGTCCTTTATCACGTCCTTTATCGTTTCTGCCCACTGAGGTATTTGATCATTCAGGAGAGTACGTGACATAAAAGGCTTTCAATATTCGTGAAATAAAGAGTGAATATTGTAGTGGGTAGTCCTTCTAGCCATGCCTGAAGCACCACCCCAGTGAGGTAGCAGGTAACTGTTACACCTGCCTATGACCTTGAAGTACATGCCCTGGGGCATGGCTGCCTGGGGACCCTGAAGACCTGGGATGCGCATACTAGGCACTACCTTGTGGTTTTGGATGCTGGGGTGGACCAGGGCAGATCTCGCCAGAGAAGAGCGTTGGACTGTGCCTTACCCTTCCAGGATCCTGCGACAAATTTCTTTATTCTGTCTTGTGAGTTTTTCTTTCCCAAATAAATTGCCACATCTCCTGCATAATCCAGAAGGCTGGGGTCTCCCGTTTGGGTTATTTCTATAATTAGTATTGCTTCTAGGATCACCCTGTGTACAATCTCTTCTCATATGACCTGGTGTACCACAGTTAAAACATTTGGTACCTCGAGGCCTCCTTCCACCTCTGGAAATGGCCTCTCCTAGTCAAGCCTCATTATCATAGTGAAGAGACTCAACACCATTTGTATATTGAATCCATTCCTCCAAAGGTCAGAATCATGGATTTCTCTCATTAGATCATTATACAGATCACAGTCTTTCTGTTTGGTTTCCCTCGAGACAACGACTCTGTCTGTATTCCAGAGTGGCTTAGAACACACTACATTGCACAGGACCCTGTACATGGCTATCATCCTACCTCAGCCTCCTGAGTGCTGGGATTATAGGTGTGGGCCACTCTGCCCAGCAAATGCTCACTTTAGATAGCAGTGACACTGATGCTTAGAGTATGCTTGAGATTCAGAGATTCGAACAGCTTACTCATTCCGCTGATGATCAGTGCTGCCTGTGGACACGGTGAGGAGCACACATCAACACACACTGCGTCTGCTAAGTCTGCTCACACTTCAGCTTGGTGTTTCTATCACTCTCCTGGGCGCTTCAGTTTTCATTTTCTTTACGTAAATATTTGTATTTTATTTAAAACATTTTTATTTATGTATGTGGGTATGTTCACGTGACTATAGGTACCTACATATCCCTCTTGTGCTGGAGTTACAGACGGTTGTGAGCTGTTTAACCTGGGTGATGGGAACTGAACTGGGGTCTTCTAGGAAAGCAGTGAGTGCTCTGAACATGAGTCACCTCCCCAGCCCACTGTGTTCTTCGTGTAAAATCACTCACTCAGGACTCCAACAATCTTTAGAGTTAAACTCCTCCTCATCCTCATCAGCGTACCCTGTTCAAACTTGTTGCCCAGCTCATTTAAAACTGTTTCCTTTCACTCTTTACTATCTTGATTTGGATGATAATCTACTCACTGTCACACCTATCACCTCCATTAACAAAAGGGACCGCAGACACACACAGCAGCAGAGGACAGACTCAAGGCAGATTTGCTCAGTCTACACAACACTGCACCGATGCTGTTAGTCACGCACATTTCTGCAAGGGGACTGCTTACAGAACGACAGGGTAAGGGCAATGCACACGTGATGCTCCTGCCAGAGCAGAGGGCACAAGATGATCATGAACTGAGTCTGGGGTAAGCATGGTATTTGTGTGAGACTCTGGCTGTCTGCTCTTTATTATGGGGTAACTTTGAAACATCCCCACTATACCTAAACCAGCTGGTGGATGAAAGAATTCCACCCTAAGGCAAAGAACCAATGTATCAGCACTCAACACGGAATGTACAGGAAACTCACTGTGTCCACAGACGGTTAGGAAGCTGTAAGGTCACTCTCTGTTTCAGGGACATGTGGAAACAGTGCACAGTGGCCGACGAAGCACTGGGGTCCTGACCTGGAAAGTCCTGACACCTTCCTCCACTCCATCCTACACAGGGACAAAGGGGTGCAGACGGGGTCCCAACACCTAGCAGGAGATGGAGGGCTGCACCTCCTGAGCTGGGCCCTCCTGTAAGTCTGCCTTCTGAGGCTCTCTGCTGATCCTCTTGGCAAACAGGAAGCAGAAAGTCAGTGCTGAGATAGAGGCACCGGCAAAAGCATTCAGTCTATGGAAATGTAGAGTCCAAAACACTGATGAGTATGAACTGTGTCTAAAATGAAAATCCTAGGGCTGGAGAGATGGCTCAGTGGTTAGCAGCACTTACTGCTCTTGCAGAGGTCCTGGGTTAGGTTCCCAGCACCCCTATGGTTTACAACCTTCCCTAACTAGAGTTCCAGGGAATCTGATGCCCTTTTCTGGTCTCCACAGGTACCAGGTATGCACATGGTACATACACATACGTACAGGCAAAACAATCACACACATAAATTAAATAAGCCTAAAATTTCTCAAAAAATGAAACCTCTGTGTATGATGGGAATTGAGGGCCTGTTCCAAGACCCAGCAGGGCCTTCTGGGTTCTCTCCACATGTCAAGACAGTTCAGACACTATTACACATTTAATGAATATGTTACATCCAAAGAGACGATATGGGAATGACTGTCTACTATTCTCATCCTCAAACCTCAAGAAATGTTTTATTTTGTATATGCAAGCGTGTGTGTGCGTGTGTGTGCGCGTGTGCAAACACACCAAGGCAAATGAGTGGAGGTCGGAGGACAACTTGCAGGAGTTGCTTCTTTCTTTCCATGTGGGTCCTGGAAGAAGGACCCACTCAGTCTATCAGACTTGGTGCAAATGCTTTTACCTGCTGAGTCCTCTCAGCGGTCCTTCATCTCAGCTCAGTCTCCACCGAGAGGAAGTTAGAAATGTAAAATTTCCTATAATGGAAACGAACAACTGCTTCCCACATTAAAAAGAAGTTATGATGATGATGAAATTACAAAAATCATCCCTAGCATTCCAGCAGGCCAATTAGTCACCTACGTTTGATATTCTGCTGAGAACGTCACATTGCCCACTGCCTCTCTACTGCTCCACTTTAGGGTACAGTTGTCGTCTATGATGTAGACGTCTATATCCTCAGGAGGTTCCAGATCTTCTCCACCTAAAAGCCAACAAGCAACAAACAAACTGATTATTTATATGATGTACAGATATTTTATAGATTGTCATTATTCACATCAATAACAGGACTGAATACATTCATTTTAAAATATTCTTAGCTATGATGCCTAAGAACCCCAAACAACAACCACATGCATAATAACCCTAAGGGTGAAATAGTGGTACACACACAATCAGTAACCAACTGCTCACCAACTGAACTCACCAACTGAACTTGAGATCTGCTCAACAAGACAGAAACCATGTCTGGTACCGGAAACCTTGCTAACTGCCCAGGGCTAGTGAGTCATGAGTCTTGGAAGAGAATCTACAAACATCACTTTCCTAGAACCAGCATAATCCCTAACTATATTGAAATGTTTGTCCTTATACCTACAGATAAGTGTAGTTCTTACCTATCATCAAGGAAACTGTTCTTTGCAACAGATGGAGAGCATAACAAAGACAGAACTGATCCAAATGCAGAGTTGTGGAGCCCAGCCCAAGTGATCCATCTACAGTAGAACTCTTGAACCTAAGGCACAAGGCTCACTGGGAAGATGGAGCAGAAAGACAGTAAAAGCCAGAAGAACAGGGAGTTGATTGTGTCTCCTGGAAATGTCAGAGGCTACATCCATGAAGTCTCACCAACATGACTGCCTAACATGCCCTAAACAAGCACACCACCAGCAGACATGTTAACATGGGAGGGGAAAAGCTCAAGGGGCCTCAGTCCTAGAAAAACAAAACAAAACAAAAGAGTACAGGCAACTAGAAACGTGGAGAGTAGAAGAAAATAGTCATCGCCAGGGAAGAACACACCAATCATTTCATATTGACTACCCAATATCAAATGGTCAGCCAGAAAACATATACCAAGTACATACAGATTGAGAAGGTTGTTAATTATGTATTTAGGAATACACACACAATTAAAGAAAAAGAGACCATGAATTTGATAGAGTAGGTTGGTGGTAGTGGTGGTACATGGTGGAGTATGGAAGGAAGAAAGGGAAGGGAGAAATGATGTAACTGTATTTTAATCTCAGGAAATAAAAGTATTTTAAAAATTTAAATTTGATTTATGTATTCTATTTTATGTGAGAATGTTTTGCCCACATATGTATATGTCTTTCATGTAGATCAGAAGAGGGCATCAGATCTCCTACAGATGGTTGTGAACCACCAACTGAGAGCTAGGAATTGAATCCAGGTCCTTTGCAAGTGCAATTAAGTACTCACTCACTAAGCCATCTCTCCAGCCCCAAGACAGAATTTATTCACACACAGCAAAGTATATAGTAGTCTCTGATGTGTGGGAGCTGTAGCCCAAGACCCCCAGTAGATGCTTCAAAGTGCAGTTCACACCCAGCTCTATCCAGACTTTTTCCTGCATATGTAAACATACAGTTATGATAAAGTTAGATAATAAAAATAAATGCAATATAGTGATTACAATGGGGTGGAGGACACAGGTCATTATTAGGTAAATAAGAGGGTTCCTTGGACAGTCTTTGTACTACTTCACTAGTTATTTGAATATCCCAAACAAAGGAAGACCTCCACCCAAGGAAGGATGGAGAGATTTTTGCACACAATTTAAACATGAGGTGTGTGGACCTTTATAATTACTGTATCTTGCTATATTGAACCTTTATTAATATATAATGCCTTATCTCTTATAGTCCTACTTGTGTGAATTAGAAACTTGCAAAGAAACTATTTGATAATAGACCACTCTAAGAAGGACCACGTTGGAGCCCATCTAGGCTTCCTAGTGGCCGTACACAGCAGGACTGCATAAGAGGATGACTTGATCACAGGCCTGAGGACCAGGTGTTTGGAAGGGGCTACACTTGGCTGTAACTAGCAAGGGGGCGATCCTTTGCCCCTCCCCTTGGCATTGTTATAAACAGCTCTTTGGAATAAAGTTCTGGTCTGATGGATTAGGATCCAGGCCCTCCCGAGGCTGTCCTATATTTTCTATCTGTTTCTCTCCCCTCTATACTTCTATCTAATATTTCCTGCCGCTCCTGCTCAAGAGTACCTTTGGAAAAAGTGGGGGTGGTATGGCCCTCCCACAGGACCAGATTTAGACAGCATCTTCCTCCAAAAGAAATTAACGCACAGGCCTATCTGCAGCCTCATGCACCGGGAGGCTTGGGATAAGGGCTGTTCCAGAACCTTCAGAAACAAGCGTCACTCCTGACCTAACACTTGCAGGACAAGTAGTTACAAGAGCAGACCTCTGAGGTAGACAATCTTCTAAGGTATCATTTCATTCTGGTGGCTAGAGCCCCTCACTCCCTAACTTGTCTATATAATGTCCTCCCCCCTTCCCCACCCTCATATTTACTGAATGTTCTAGAACTTGTTTGCGCTGTGGATACAGAAAAAAACCAAAAAAACCAAAACCAAAACCATGTAACCCTTGACTATGTATACCTGGCTTTTGGCTACTCATGTGTTTTAGAATAAAGTATTTCATTTCCCTTCAAAGTAGAATCACTCTTTTGGGTCAATGATTTAAAGTCCTTTAGTCTGAGACTGATACATCTTCCCTTGAAGATGCATGCCTTTGGCACACTCCAGAGGGTTCTAAAACCGTTTAAATAGCAGTGCAGGTCCTGTCTAGGGGGAGACACTGACACACACTGCCTGCTCCAGTCATATTTCTAGAAGCCTTAAAAAGACATTTTTAAAAATCCTTTTTAAAGAATGTCCTCATATGGTGGAAGAAGGCAATTAAAAGTTGCAGCTAGTGGGCTCATGATAAAGAAAAAATGTAGTAACCATAGCAACCGCTGGAAGAGGTAACAGTCTTCTTGCAGCTGCAAGCTCACCAAGGACAGCACCTCTGGACGGGAGGTGCATCAATCCCGAGTCTGTTCCTATGTAGTCTGTAGACCCCCACGCCCCTTGCTTCACTCCCCCATAAAAACCCTGCCCCATTGCTACCCGGGGTCTCTCCTGCTTTGCTGCTGCTTCAGACGGACAGAGAGGCCTGGATTAACTCACAATAGTAAAAAGACTCTTTGCTTTTGCGTCAGATTTGGTCTCTTGGTGGTCTTTGGGGGACTCTGGGTACAACAATGTCATGACACACTTTTGCTCCAGAAGTTTATAGATTACAGTTAGATTACATGAGGAGATCTCTGAGAAGACATTTTCCGATTCTTCTTTTTTTTTTTTTTAGCCGTTGGCGGGTATCCATCAAGTCTCCCTACACTGTTATCACTTTCTTAGTGTTGGGGAATTGAACCCATGGTCTTGTGTATGCTAGGAACTACATTTCCAGTACCCCACCAGAGCCTTTGGACTCCATCCCTAAATGAATCTATCCCGTTACCCTTATCCCCTTAACTTGATCCCCATCACATTTGTTGGAATTTACAAGGTTCTGTGCAGAAAGGGCAGTAACTGGGCTTATAAGATTAACAAAAGATCCAATAGCATTTGTAGTAGCTACAGTATTCTGTTCATGTAAGAGTACTTTACCTGCATGTACACCATGTCCATGTCTGGCCAGAAAAGGGCGGTGGGTCTACCTAGAACTGGAGTTACACATGCTTGTATGCCACCACATGGGTGCTGGGAATTGAACCTGGGTTCTCTAAAAGAGTAGCCAATGTTCTAAACTGCTGAGTCATCTCTCTAGACCCCTGTTCATAGTATTTTAATTAAAAAGATTGTGAGCCAGAAAGGAAGTAGAGATCTGATGAGGTACAGCCAGGGATAGCTTCAAGGATGCAATCTTTCTATGGATAATTAAAGGAGCCCCTGATGATAGAGCATTTTGTTGCTTGGGTGACCAACAACTCATAAGTGAATGGATGTTGAAGGAATTTAGCAGTCACTGTATCTGGGGTAGATATTAGAAGTATTTTGATCCTGAAGAATCCTTGTGGAAAACAGTGATTGTTTTGCTGAAGGGGCACTGTAGCCATCTCATGACTTTGGTCACAAGAGGCCTCAGGCACACCTGAGGTTCTTGTATTATTGTGTATTGCAAAAGATACATAATAAAGGACTATGGTCATGAGGGCATGTGATGCTCTCCTTTAGTAAGACATTTAAATTAGATTAGGGACCTTGGTATGAGCAAATACTTTGTGTAACAATCAGTAAATAGGCCTTTGTATGGCTGTTCTGGGTTCAGTCCATCAGAGGTTGGACTTAAATTTCATCTTAGATGGGAGCGGAAGAGATGACTCAGAGGTTAAGAGTACTAACTGTTCTTCTAGAGGTCCTAAGTTCAGTTCCCAGCAACCACATGGTGGCTGACAACCATCTGTAATGAGATCTGATGCCCTCTTCTGTGTACATAAATAAATAAATAAATCTTTAAAAAAATTTCACCGTGGAGTGCCTTCTTTGTTCAACTAACTAGCGCTGTACGGCACACCCCAACAAACGGAGATTTGGACATGGGAGTTAATTGGATTTAGTTTTCAGATTTTACAGTGTCAGTAACAACAGTTTATTCCCACCTTAGCATGCAACACAGCATTTCTTAATTTGTGTATGTGCCTGTCTATCTGTGGGCACATTCACGCTAGATGGAGCATGTGGAAGTCAGAAGACAAATGGCTGGAGTTGGTTCTCTCTTTCTACCATTCGGGTTGGAGATTGAACTCTGGTCCTCAGGCTTGGGGGCAGGTGCTTTTTCCTGCTTAGCCATCTTGCTGGCCCAGCATGTGAAATTTATATAGGAGCATTTATTTATAATTTCAGTTGCTTCCAATCTTTGATGTTTATCTTGATGGACAGTAGGGTGCACTATTTTCTGAAGTCTGATGTAAATATAAAGACATACATCCATGCATTTATACACTAAGATTTCATTAGCAGGTTGGACAATTTTCTTGGTCTAAAGTCCTAACTGGCCCTTACTAGGATACAAAGCATGATTTAATTTAATTTTATTATTTGAGTTTTGGATTAAGGACCAACATTACAATTTCAAGTTTAGTGTAATAATTCATTTACTTTTCAATATTGTTACCCTTTAGGGGAAAAGAGTATTAACAGAAATAGAACTGAGAAGGAGGCCTTTAACATGTAAATGGATAGTCAACTATTTGAAATGTTTTTCTTTAAGAAAACAGCTCTGGTTGGGTGTGGTGGTGCACACTTTTAATCCCAGTACACCAGAGGCAGAGGCAGGTTGATCTCTGGGAGCTCCAGTTCTGCCAGGGCCATATTGTGAGACCCGCCTCAAAACAACCAAACAAGCAACCCAGCTCTGGCTTGGGGTGGCAGCACATGCCAGTAATCCCAGCACTCAAGTAGCAGGGGCAAGAGGGTCAAGTCCAAAGCCAGCCTGAGCTACAGAGTGAGATCCTGTCTTAAAATCCCAAACAACAACAGAGTCCAGGAAGATGTCTCAGTTGATAAAAGTGCGGGCGGAACAAGCCTGTGGACCGGAGTTGGGGCCTCTAGCTGGATGTGGCCGTGCACACCAGTCATCTAAGTGCTGAGCAGATGGAGCAGGAGGGTCCTGGGTGCTTGATGAGCAGCCAATACATTATCTAGCTCCATTTTCAGTCAGAGACCCTATCCAAATAAGGTGGACAGCCCCAGAGAAAGACACTTGACATTGACCCCTGACCTCCCATTTCATGAGCACATCAGCAGCAGCAGCAGCAGCGCGCGCGCGCGCGCGCGCGCACACACACACACACACACACACACACACACACACACACACACACACACACATACACACACACACACACACCCCTACGCCTGGTGTAGTTAAGCCACAAGGCTCTCAGGACAGACTCTCAAGTGAGCTTTTCAGTTCAGTCAGAAACTAGTGCATGGTGTCAGGCAAGGCACTTAACCTCTCAGTGCCTCAGTTTCCTCCTCTGTGGAATGGCAGCGCTGAAAGTTTAGTTATTCCTTTCAAGCACTTTGTAACAAGGGTAGTGAAGAGCCCAATAAATGCTCCTATAAATTATGCTTTAGTAATGGGTTCAGTTTAAGGTCGATTCTTTTGAGAAACATGAACACTACTGAGCACAGAGTGGCCAGGTACTGCTTATCCTCTGGCCTCAAACCCCTGCCTCAGCCTCTCCAGTGCTGGGATTACAGGTGCAGGTCACCACAACTGGTTACAATTAATTTACTAATGTACATCCTCCTTAAATGTCCATTTCACGTGACAATAGGGAGGAATTCCCTTTTATATTTAAGTACACACAAACATAAAGTTTTCCAAGAACAAAGGCTTCAAAACCGTCACCACGGGCTGTATCAGGGCACTTGCCCGAGTTTCCAGTGCTGGGTGCTATCTGCAGGTGAGACTTGGGGTATCCGTACCTCCCAGGTGTACCGATTTCTAAGAGGAATCGGAACTTACTAGCAACCCCACAGACCTCCAGGAGACCTGGCTGGCATGCTGGGCTGTGTTCTTCGGGTTCCTTACACCACTATGAGAAGATCGCTGTCTATCACCCTTAGAGTAGTCGCCGTTCTCCTGAGTAACAAACTAGCCGGGTGGTTTCCTGGCTCGCTTGTTATTGTTTTGTTAGCCTGCTCGGACGTGGGCGCGTTAAGGCGACTCTCCTCTCCCTCCTCGGCGAGGCCGGGACAAAGTGCGCTAGGCTGGGGAAGCGCGTTTCTGCGGCTGTCTGGTCTCCCACCCGCCATCCGCCCGGAGGGTCGGGCCCAGGACAGCGTGCGCAGGCTGCAGCAGGGGCGCAGGCGCCGGCTCCGGCCAGGAGGGTGACGGGGTCAGCGGGCGGGGACTCGGGCCACCCGCGCCCAGCTAGCGGCCAATGCCCAGACGCCCAGGGCTCTCCCTCCCCGCCGCCCGGCCCTCGGCCAGGCCCCTCGGCTCACCTGCGGCTGCGAGCAGCACCCAAGGCTCCCCAGCCACCAGCACCAGGGCCGCCGCGCCCAGGAGAGCGAGCATCGTCTCGGGAGGCCAGACCGGTGTCTCACATCCCCTGTCTCCTCCAGCGGCGCTGTGGAGCCCGAGAAGATCCGCACGGCAGCGCGGCCATATCCGCGACGCCCCGCCCCTTCCGCGAATGCCCCGCCCCTCCGCCCTGGATGGCTCCCCGGGAACGCCCCGCCCCTCCTCCCTGAATGGCTCCTCCGCGATCGCCCCGCCCCTCCTTCTTCAATGGCTCCTCTGCGATGGCTCCGCCCCTCCACCCTGTATGGCTCCTCCCCCCGCGAACGCCCCGCCCCTCGCCTTGAATGGCTTCTTGCCCCGCCCCGCAAACGCCCCCGACCTCTCCGTGAGCAAGCGGCTTGGAAAGCACCGGGCGGTCTAGACTTCAACCCGTGCGCTGACTTCTGACCAGACATGTCCCTGTCACGCCCCACTCCCATTTCCTTAAAGATCGACTACGATAGTTATCTCCAGAGACAAACGCGGGGTGCAGCCAGTGCGCCTGCGCAGATCCCCCCCCCTGTAACATCTCCGTCTCTGCTTCTCAGCTTCCTGTTTTTGCCCTGGGGTGGGGCTGGTCCGGAGGCTGTGAGGCGTTGCCTCAGGGGTGGCTGGTCCACAGGCTTGCATCCTGGTGTGGGCATCCCGGGAGACGAGGACCCTGGGACCGGGAAGGCGCAGGCGACACAGCGTTTACTATCTCAACTGCACACGATTTTTATGCTTGATTCCTTGCTTGAAATCCCACAGGGATTCATGTGATGGTTTGGTGGCGCGCACTGGCTCTATGGTTTTGAATTGCACAACATTTGAATCCTTTTTCTAAAACTATTTTTTAGGTTGGTTTTATGTGTGCGAGTGTTTTGCCTGCATGTAGGTACGTGTACCATACATATGTGCGTGCCTGGTACCCTGGCCCTGGAGTTACCCATCTTAGGAGCTACCATGTGGGGCCCAGTATCCGAATTCTGGTCCGATACAAGTGCTCTTAAGCACTGAGCCATCTCTCTGGCCCCTTAACTTTTTCATTACTACTTCGTAAAAAGATTTTTATTTGTTGTTTAATTCATTTTTAAAAAGCATCCTTATCCATCAACAATGATATAATATAGAATTATTACAGTGGAAAAAACAATACCCAAATGCCAAAAAATTTTCTGTGTTTTCATGTTTCTGACTTGCTACTCTTTGGAATTCAGGAACAAATCAGTATTCCCAAGTAGTCCCAGGGCTTTGAAAATTAGGATATTTTAAACATACTTGTTACAAACTTTATAATTTGAATAGGTAGAATTCCTGTTTAAAGAATCAAGTACACTATATTCAGTAGTATTTAGAACTACAATATAAGAATAGTCAACGAAAACATTTAAAATTCGAGTTTCACAGTAAGATAAACAGCCTCCCATGGAATCATATGTAGCCAATATCCATCTAAGGACTTACTTTACATTGGAAGTGTGTTATACCTTGAGAGTACATTCGCTGGACTTACATGAAGGTTATGTGTGAATTCCAGAGTAAGCATTTTGTCTGTTGTAAATTATACGTTTTTGTTTTTCTACGTTATGCTATACCCTCATGTACATGTTTAATTACACACACATAGCCATAGGCTAGGATCCACATATGAAGACAAACATTTTTCCTCCAAGATTGGTGGCCTTGCTTAATATTACTCATTCTAAGTCCATTCATGTTGTGGAATATTACTTTAACTGGGCAAAGATGTGGTTGTATTTGTTAATGCTGTGAATTATTACTTTAACTGTGTAAAGGTGTGTTACATTTGTTTATGCTGCATTTGATTAATGATGTAAGGATGTGTGTTTAATTATGTAAAGATGTGTTGTATTTGTTTCACCTTGCCTGCCTAAGGCACCTAATTGGTCTAATAAAAAGCTGAATGGCCAGTAGTCAGGTAGGAGAGGGATAGGCGGGGCTGCCAGACAGAATAAATAGAGGGAGAGGAGGAAGAGAGAGCAGGGGGACACCAGAGGCCGGAAACCCGGCAGCCACCAGCCACCAGCCACCAGCCACCAGCCACCAGCCACCAGCCACCAGCCACCAGCCAGCAGACATAGACACAGCAGGAAAGTAAAATATAAAGAAAGCTAAAAAAAGTCCCCAGGCAAAACGTAAATAAAGAGAAACAGCTTAAAATAAGAGCTAAGACTAGGCCGAGCATTCATAACTAGTATTAAGTCTCTGTGTCTTGATGTGGGAGCTGATTGGTGGCCAAAAAGAAAAGGCCTGGTATACATTCATTTTTTTTTTCAATTTTTGGTAAATTTTGAGATTTTATTTTTCTTTGGGGCTGAATAATATTTTATTTTTTATATGTAACCGGATTTACAGTATCCATTCATCTGCTGATGGACAACTAGGTTGGATCCATTTCTGTTCCATAGTGAATAAAGCAGCAGTAAACGCAAAGGTGGAGATAATCTCTGATAGGGTGTGGTGTGAATGCACATGAGTGAAGTAGCTGGATCGTATGGTAGTTCTATTTTTGAGGAACCTCCACAATGCTTTCCCCAATGACTATTAATTTCCATCCCCATCAGCAGTAAGAGTTTCTTTTTCTCTGCATCCTCTCCAACATCCTTGTCTCAGTCCTGATCTTTGAAGAAATGCTCTTACTTGTCTCCATTTAATATTGCTATAGGTTATATATCCTATCCTATTGTGGTATGCTCCATATGTTTCTAACAGTTCCAAGACATTTATCATGAAAGCGTGTTCAAGTTTGTCAAATGCATTTTTGGCATCAATTGAGTGGGTTGTGTGGTTTCCGTCTTCAAGTTTGTTTATATGAGGTATTACATTTATTGACTTACACAGGTTGGGCCAAGTTTGCCTTTCTGGGATGAAGCCCACTGGAATATAATGTATGTTCTGCTTAAGGCGTTCCTGAATTTGGTTTACAAGTATTTTGCCAAGAATTTTTGCATCTATATTCATCCAAAAAAATTTTTTTGGCCTGTAGTTTTCTTTCTTTGTTGTATCTTTACCTGGTTTTTGTAGTCAGACTTTCTTTGGACCACCAGCTTCCAAATAATGACACAGAGACTTCTTATTAAGTATGAAAGGTTGGCCTTAGTTTAGGCTTGCTCCCAACTAGCTCTTACAATGTAAATTAACCCATTTATATTAATCTATGCTCTGCCATGCTGCTCATTACCTCTCCTGGGTACTGTGGGTCACACTTCCTCCACATCTCACTGTTGAATCTCTGCCTCTCTGATTCATTCCCAGAGTTCCTAGCTCTGCCCGGAAGTCCTGCGTATCCTCTCCTGCCTAGCTGTTCAGCTCTCTATTAAACCAATCACAAGGTGTCTTGGCAGACACATCTTCAGTATACAAAAAGATTATCCCACAACAGGTTTTGTTGTTAGATTAATACTGACTTCCTGGAATGACTTTGAAAGTGTTCCTTCACTTTGTATTTTGTGGAACAAGCTAAGAAGAATTAATCACTGAGATCTTTCTTGGACTTTGATAGAATCGCATAGTGATCAGTCTGATCCTGGGCTTTTCTTTGAATGGAGACTTTTTTTTTCTAATTTTAAGTTTTGGAGACTGGGTTTCTCTGTGTAGCCTTGGCTGTTCTGGAACTTGCTCTGTAGACCAGGCTGGCCTCGAACTCACAAAGATCCTCCTGCTTCTGCCTCTTGATTGCTGAAATATGCATGTGCCGGAGGCTGAGAGGAAGCTTTTGATTGCAGCTTCTATCTCATTGTTTGTGATGTGCCTAAGTTATTTGTATCTTTGTCTAAGTTATTTATATCTTCTGGATGTAATTTTGGTAGATAATATACATTTATAAATCTATTTCTATGTCTTCCAGAACTTAAGAGTAGAAGTTTATAGAGCATTCTCTACTAAGGTTCTGTAATTTGTCGGATTCTGTTCTAATGGCAATCTTTTGATCTCTGATTTTAATTTGTTTCTTCTCCTTTTATCAGATTGGTGAAAGGTTTGTCAATCTTTCTAAAAACAAAAACAAAGAAACTTAGAGGCTTTTTGATACATATTGTTTTTTTCCTAATTTCTTTCCTAACATGGGATAAATTCATCATGATATCCAAGATTCTCTGTCTTCTAAGAATCAGTTCTGCCCCCTAGAGTTGCTGCAACAGACCTTGAGAGCTTGGTACAATAGATGCCATGTTGGATGCACCATTCTGACCTTAGAACCCAGCACGTAGGCCCCAACACCTACCAAAAAAACAGGAGCAAACACTTAGTCCACTGAAGACCTAGTCTGTAGATCCAGGGTCTGGGGAAGTGTCGAGGACAGTTTTAAGAGCCATGCCACAGTGCCTGCCTGAGTTAAGTTTCTGTTGTCCAGTACTGAGACACTAACCAGAAACTTTTGACATGCCTGGACAAGTCCTGAGTTATTAGAAAATAACTTCACATTTCCTTATCTTTCTGCTACAGTGACCATTAGTAACAATGTTTTGTGGTTAGGTTGCTTGGTTGGGTTGCTTGGCAACTCAACAGTCCCTTGATCTTTTCCCAAAGAAAGTTTCCTGGTCTGCTTCTATAAAACCCACCTGAGAAAAATAAAAATTTGCGGCTTGATCAGAATACTGTCTTGCTGTCAATTCTTTGTGTCTCTTGTCCCTTTCATTCGCCATTCCCCCTTCTAGGGTCTCTGCTGAAGACCCCGCTGACTGAGACAGGGAAGTCCCTGCAGTGGTTTGATTTAGAATGGCAGACATAGATTTGCATGCTTGGTCACCAGAAAGTGGCACTATTTGAAAGGATTAGGACATGTAGCCTTGCTAGAGGAGGTGTGTTACTGGGGGTGGGATTTTAGGTTTCAAAAGACCAAGCCAGGCTCAGTGTCTCTCTTCCTGTTCCCTGTGGATCTGGATATAGAACTCTCAGCTACTTATCCAGCTCCATGTCTGTTGTATGCTGCCAGGCTCCCCACCATAATGAACTAAACCTCTGAAACTGTAAGTCAGCCCTAATTAAATGCTTTCTCTTATAAGAGTTGCTGTGGTCATGGTGACTCTTCACAGCAACAGAACACTAAGACAGTCCCTAAATATACTAGCTTTGCTTTTTGGCTTCTGTAATTGTGCTTCTCACTAACTGTTCC